TCTGAGTCATCATCCTGCAGAAGAATTCTTCATAAAATACTGCTTGCAAAATATGTCTAATTTAGCCTGCTCGATTTTGATTCAACGTCTGGCTACCATCACTTTATTATATAAACCAGAACTTTGGTGTGTCGGTTTGTCGGTGTGTGTGTGGTGTGTGTGCGTGTGTGCGTGTGTGCGTGTGTCGTTCTGTCCGTCCGGACCGACCGCTAACAAAACCAGGGAGTACGAAAGGGCAACACTCCGTGATGCTGATGTCATGATGATGATAACACTTACAGCGGTATTATACAGGGTGGTCCAAAATTATGAGGACCGCGTGCGCGCGCAGTCATATCCACTTTTTTCCGTATCGCTCCATTTTCATCTTCGTTTTCTGTGCACTATGTGAAAGGGTACAATGTCTTCTTCCTAATGAAACCAAATTTCATGAAGTTCTCAAAACTAGTGAAATAACTACTTCACTTTGAGTCAGTCCTCAAATTGAACTCACTAGGGGCTCTGGCACGTTACATCTAGCAGCAGTCTAACCTATCAGAGAAGCCCTTATGAGCAACAGTTCAACTCTTCAATAAAGTTTGGAACCACCACAGATGGAAAATTCGGGGACTCGAAAGTTACAGTTACCACCAGGATAATTATCAGATGCAGAAACTAGGTCTCCCCTTGTCGACTTTCGTACACCCAAAATGAAAAAATTGATGTGAAAACCCAGCCAGACACTCTAAAGACTCCACATCTGTAGTGGATAGAAAGCCACACGAGTAGTCTACTTAGAACTTCTTACAGGACCGAGCACCCAAGAATAAAGCAAAAATCTCCAAAAAGCGATTTTTCGAGTTCGTTGCTTTCGAAGAATTGTTACAATGGAACCATCCACCTAATAGCTCTAGATTTCTGTATTTCACACCCTGGATGCAAGCGCAAATAAATGCAACACAAAAGTTTGATTCCCTGAAGAAGGCAGAGCAGAAGGCCTGGAAACATTTGGACACGCCTTAGTTGCGTGCCACCGCACGCGCCATCCCCTCATCCGAAGGCTCGTGTTAACGGGAAGTGGCAGATCTCAATTCTATTCTGGAATTACTTTGAGGTAAGAGTTACAAATACTTCCCAGAAGTTGGTTTGTTCCATCAAGCTACTATGCGTTTTTAACGACACAATGTCTTGGTCCTCATAATTTTGGACCACCCTGTCAACAACGATAGAGCACACTCAGCCTTATTCTACATGGTGCTGCCGTGGCAGCCGGATGAATGGGGGGGGGGGTAGAGGAAAGGGGGCAAGAAAGGGGAGGGAGAGAGAGGAAGGGAAGTGGGGGAGAGGGAGAAAGGGAGGGAGAACATGGTGCTGCCATGCGCCGGAGAGAAGGGAAGAAGGAGGTATAACACATTCAATAGTGAGGTGGTTAATGGAGTACGTCATGCTGCTATTCCGTGGTTCCTCACCTACAATGTGATGCGCGCGATAGCGGGCGGATCTAGCCTGGTTTCAAAAATAAATGATCAGAGAGGAGTTAAATTTTTTATTGGTTGAGCTCATAAGCTATGGGTGTTCCCTATGACACAATGAAGTATTGTAGGGAAAAGGAGGGTAGCAAACATTAGCGTTTGCTCTTCTTCACAACATAGCTTTATTTTGCTACAGGTTGATCACAGAACAAGGTATGATAAGCACTCATTCCACAACCGATTGACTTCACTTCAAGGAAAATAACTGAATGGAACTCTAGATCCCTATCGGAGAACTGTTGAGCTGCAGTTAGAAACAGTGTGTTCTGACATAGATTGCTTCACTAACAGATCGCATGAAACATCGATATTAAGACACGAGCCAACCCACCGAGCTCGACAGTTAACCATCTTACAGAGGCGTACGGGGCGCGGCTGTGCCACCGCTTGACCTAAACCTTTGATCTAAACCCAGGAGCTGGCTTTGAGGTGCTTGCTTACCCGTGCTGACCACGGGTAAGCAAAGCGTGGTTGACGTTAGCACAGTTAAGTACTGTAGAGAGAAACGGTTCATGAGCGGTGAGACTAACTGATAACACACTGACTGGGATAATGTAGCAAGACATGAGCTTCCGCTCGTGGCGGAAAGTATCACTAGATCTCTTGAAGTTCCTTGCATTTTCGTCACCCCTATATCTGCACAGAACATCACTTCATTTTTGGGGAAGAGTTATGTT